AATGCCCTTCCTAGGGCCGACTTCCTCCAGCTAACAGACCCTTATATGTATATTTGTATTTATATCTGTAATTATATCTATCTTAAAGACTTATATATATATATATATATATATATATATGTTGGTAACTCAATAAATTGTATATAGTTAAGAACTTTGGATTTGGGCTAACTCTATAGAGGAAAGAGGGATCTGCTCGAAATTCTGGCATCCCTCTCAAAGCACCCACCTCCTGCCTACCTGTCCCATCCAATTGAGAATAGGCCACACCCTTGGATGTACCCGGATTACATTTGAATTAGGTCCCTCTTTGAAAATATAATTGCAATGCATTTAATGTAAATTACAATTTACACAAAAGGAAGTCCCCCTTACCCTAGCCAGTCTATGGCCCTAATTCACCTCTCCCATCTCTTCAGCAAGTATCATAACCTCCAGGCCAGAAACTACTCAGTGCTGTCTCCTTGCTCTTTTGTGGGAAGGGTTGGGCATGAGACATTCTCTCAGATAATGATGATACCATAACTTCCATGACTGTGCTCCTTCCCAAAGAAAGCCAAGGTTGCACTTGGGTGCTTGTACACAAGTGTGGAGGCTGCTCCCATGTGCTGTTCCAATGCACTTCAATTAATCAAATCTGTTAGAGCACGGTAGTTATCATGTTTCAGCAGCCTCCTATGTCTCGTGTATTGGTGTGTCTGCACTTCAAAATGGCGGAAGGAGTGCTTGAAGTAAAGCTTGTCAAATGAACTTAGTTCAAGCACCCCCACCACCATTTTGAAGCATGGGGATGCTGATACACGAGACGCTGTGATGCTTTAATTAGAGCGGCTCTCAGAACCACTCTGATTAAAGCGCCACCCCCTCATCCCCCCCAGAGCACGTGTAAAAGTACCCTCAGTCCAACAAGCAGATGGATTTGTACTTCTACTCAGTCAGACATAAGTCCTCATCTCCAACTTTGAAAAAACTCACCAATGCAAGCCTTAGGCAGAGTCAGCGCATACCCACTGCCCTGTAAGCTCAGCCCCTTTGGACAGCCCAAGAAGGAATCCTAGCTGCTTTGCCAACAAGGCACTTTGTACCTGCTTTAATCCTCTCATCCCACCATCACAAAGAAAATCCCAAAAGAGAAACTGGCCCCATCATACATACCATCTCAGTAGAATGCTGTCTGACCCAAGGAAAGTCTCTGATGGGAGGTTGCTAGACCAGCTGGTAAAAGACATTGTTTTAAAAGCAATGTGAGAAACCAGGGTAGCATCCCAACTGTCCATCACCCTGTAGGAGATGTACAACTTAGGGTAGAGGGTTGATGTATGGCCTACACGCTGCTTGAGAATCACTTCCGTCCTAGTCTGGACACTGAAGTGGGCTTTCAGTTGTACATACACCAGCCTTGTGCCCTCTGTGCAGGGACAAGTTTTGTCTTGGTGGGTAGGCAATGGTTATAGAAGACACTGTGGGGATGGAGGGAAGGAGGACTTATATGAAGCACTTAACATGTGACACTTGCATCACTCATGTGGGCACCTGAAAAGCTCTTGCCAGCCTGGGGTTCCTTAGAAGCCTGGTCTTGCTTTTCCTATTATTTTACTTGACTGCATCTGTTTAAAATCAACAGCCTTATTCTGAGCATACAGCTGGTGAAGATATTTTCATTCCATTCAGATCCCACACAGACCCTTTGCCAAGCAGTAGGTTTATTTTAGAGTACAGCTAAGAGCTCTGATATAACATTTGGTCGGACACAATGCTTCTGCTACTGGCTGAGGAAAGTTTGGCTCCTTTTTCTTTTCCCTGCCTTGAGAGGAATAACTCTTAGCATGCAGCATGACTTCAGCTCAGCAAGGCTGGTATACTGATCTCCTGGGGCCACCAGCCTGACAGTGTGGAATCAAGGGAGCTCTCACCTAGTCAGCCAACTCTTTCCTCAACAAAGTGTCATGAACTGCTTCTGGGATATGTCTGTCTCTGCAGAGGCTTGGACAGACA